CGTATTTGAAATTAAGGCTCCCTGTCAAACTACAGATTTCTCTGGAATCTGAAACCGTTGACGATATGAGTACATTGGCACGAGTCAACTTAATAATGGTAGTAGTTAGTAGTTATCTGGAATATCATCAAAAGGTTTTGCGCTATAAAACAAGAATTCCTTCGTAGTTTTCCCGTAAAGTTACAATACTAAACTTACTCAGGTTACTGGGTATAATAAAATAGTTTGCGGCAGACTAAACTAAGAGCAAGTAAAAATAATATCGTTTAGTTTAATACGCGGTCGTGCCGCCTACTGGCCATAACTCGCTGCGACAAAACAAAAAACAAATTTGCAAACGTATAAAGAAATTGAAAGGTACCGGCGACCGATGCTATCGCAAAATTATTTCCAATTTCACCGTTTTGCGTCTCCGTTCGGAAAGGTTCCTTTTTTGAATTATTTTTTTAAATTTTATTTCGAGCGATGGCCGTCGCGCGGGCCCACTCCCATAAATTATAGTTCGGTAGCTCTCTTAAAGGAGGTTTTATATTTTTTATTTTTGTTTAGGCCCTTGAAGAATTTATGTCCCAGTCTTACTTAGTAGCGACGGTCAGCCGACCTGTCTCCTGGCGAAATGTTTTCTGCTTGCACTGCAGCAAATACAGCGAATGTCTGGAGGGTAATATTTAAGTCTATGTTTTTCTTGGAGTTAACGTGTGATGGCTGTTTTAAAGCTGCCTAGACCGATTAAGGCGTGTCTTTGTTAAGTTTTATAGGACATAGATGACAAGGTTAAACAGTAAAGGCGTTGAAAAGTATATCTCAATTGGAATTTTAATGTTTCTGACTTGTTTTAAGACTCTGTAACTAACCACAATATTTTAAAAAAGGATTACAAATACTCATTTTGGTTGCCTAATATAATAGGTAGGTACCTACTTATATCCACGTACGTTATTTTAAATGAAATCTTATATTAGCTGGTATTCGTCGTTTCGTTTATTGAATATAGAATAATCGAACCGTCTAACAGTAATTAGTTTGCGCAAAAAGTGATGTCACTATTACAATTCATGATATACGCCGAATGATTTTGAATTACGAATTACGTTTAAATATGGAATGTCATGCGTGATTAGTGTGGTGACAAATTTAATTGTGGTGGCGTTTTTGTTTCTACCCAAAAATTGTTATGTCGATAATTCATTTATGTTATTCACAAAAGGTGCGTTCAGTAACGAATATTTATAAGTAGAGAAAATATTCATGGCTTACAACACATCAAATAAACATTTGTATAAAAAAGTAAAGTAGAAAACAAAACAAAAATTAGTACGTATGTATAAAATTAAAAACTTGACGTAAAAATAAAAAAGTATATGAACATCCGATTCAAACTAGATCTAGTGTGGTGACTGATGCTACCGTCTTTACTTGTTGTCTTACCGTATTTACCGTCGCGTCTTCGTACTTACTCAACAACGTAAGTGATGGTCCTAACCGAAATAAATAAACATTTCAGTACTTATACAATTATATATTAAAACTAGTACGTGTGTGTGTACAATGAGTAAGCTGGCAAGTGGACAAGTATAGTCCATAAGATAAGATGGGTAAGTTTATTAACGGTTAAGTAAGTTTACGCAAACAATACGTTGAAATAAAATTAAGTAACTATTTTAATAAATTAATTAAATTTACGCAATTCTATATTTTTGGACATGGTGTCGACCAAAACTTAATAAGTTAAGTTTTTCTTTACATATTTTATAACATCATCAGCTACAAATAAACTCAAAACAGTAATTTTCTTTTACTTGTATTAATTTTAGCAACTATGATCTCAAACATTTCTCGCTAATCAACAAAACAAACCCGAATAACCTTTCAAATCTTTAACGGCAGACAAAACGGATTCCTTATGCTGGCAATTGGAATAGTTTTCAGTTTTTTATCTCGTTTTTAGTTCGGCAGGCATCCTAACGGTACACTGCCAGAGACATAACTTTAGGACGGACTGGCCATTTTTTTTACGTTATTTTTCTGTTGACCTCAGTCGCCTTCGATATTCGAATCTAACTTTTTAATCGTTTGTTATTCATGTCTGCTTTAAAAATATGTATTCCAAATATAATTTTTTCTATACAAAGCCCACATATAGACTGAGACATAAAGCTATACAATCTTGCCTAAGTGGCTCAGAGTTAGCTAAATTTGATGCTGAGCACAGACTCGGTGGCGCCATGACTAAGCGAGAATTTTGACATTGATTTCTTCCGCATACCATAATCGAAAACAAAACAGGGACGCACCCAAATTGTTACTCAATCATTTCTCCACGAATAAAGACGATATCTTTAATAAATTTGATTAGAATTGCGAAATAGAAAACAATGTAGAATTACTTTGTTAATTAGCTATGTTAAAGAGATTCTAAATGAACTATTATCGCCACAGGGAGATTACGATAAAAAGTCATACTGGCAACTCTAATTGCGTTCAACGCCGGCCGAAATTAAAAAGAAAAGTCGCAGAGCAAGAATCCCGCCTATTTTTAAAAATGGAACCCGACGATGATTCGCCTAATTAATAAACCAATCACGTACAGTCGAGACGCGGTGTCGAGGCGCGGCGGACGTGCGGGCGCGGGGGATGAAATGTACGTTCGGAAATTCGAATACTTATATTTTTTCTGCACCATAGGAACTTTGCTTGTAATTGGCTTGACGAGAAACGACAGTAAAATTTAGAACCAAATTAATTATTAATGAATTGCGCGGTTTACGACTTGCTTGGCGAGTTATAGGCAATACAAAATACTAATAAATTCATCATTAAAAGATACCTACGCGCTCCAGATTCTTATCTACTCCTCAAACTATTCAGTCAGTATGTAACAGCACAAAAAGTAACCCGACACAGTTAATCATTTTAAATCAACTTAAGAAGTATAAAAATTAAACTCCGATCAAATTCTCAGAAAGATGTTATGAGAACACCACGGATTATATGACACAGCAGTATGTTTTCCTTTTTGATTGAATGGACATGAATGAAGCTCACACATTATTATTAACAAAAGAGGTGGTTCAATATGGACACCGAAAAATTATGTTAAAAAATTGTGAGCTTTGAAGGTTCTAGAAAAAATATCATTTATCAAATAAATGCATTCCTTGTTGTGTCCTTGCGCAGCGTGACTGCAAAAACTAGTTGAATAATAAATGTGGCGGTTGGCAACACTGAGAGCCGAGGAAGCCCGAAGCGACGCGAAGAAGAGCGAAGATTAGCGAGCGCGCGCTTTTTGCTTGCATCAATCGATGCGCCGAGCATTCGCACGATGAATAATTCAAAAATTGACATGAAATGGCGTATGGCTCTTTTTTTAAAATGAAAGGTGCCCGATTGAGGACTGTAACCGCCTGACGAATTCATTGGGCAACGGCTTTTTACGTTCTATAATTGCTGATTACTGGAAACCTTATGAACAAAACAAACCTAATGCACTCTCATAATGTCAATTAGCCCCATTACAGAACCCATTCAACTAAGAAAACCGTATAATACGTGTACTAGTAGTAGGTACACCACAAAACGACATCCCCATATCCAAGCGATAATAAGATTTTTTTTCTAAATAATTATATAACAAATCCGTCCTTACAAGCCACGAGTTTATACGTTGTCAGCTATAAACATAGATTTACTGTCAAACCGCAAATAAACTTTTGCCTTGAGAGATTTGAAAATATCAGTTGTGTTATTCATTTGATGATTAATGTCATATTGGCAACATCGCCACGTCATTTAATTTTACACATTGGTAGTTGGATTTAGCGAATGTTACCAACATTAGTATACACAACACACCCTGGCTAAATAAAGCACCCATAACTGACTTGACATAATAGTTTTGAATATGTAGATTTTATAAACAACTACACAAATATTTTAATATTTGGCAACTCGGCATTATAAATTTTCATTTATTTACTCGTTTAATTGATTTTTTTAATAACAAACGAAGTAATTGTTCCATTTTCAAAATGTAATTCACATAACATCGTTATTCAATGTTTCATTGCGAATGCGAATCTGTGATGAATTGTATTGATATTCCAAATTCAATTTTAATTGAATATCACTGAATTTATTCATATCAAATATTGTTTTCAAAGAGAAAATTCCATATGGCATATTTAGTACGAGTAGACAGAGAAGTTTCTCATCAACACTATCCGTTTCCGCTTTCTTTGTTCACCCGAAAAACCGGTAATTAATTCGTACAAAGTTGCTAATGAAACTTCTTAATTTCCAAGTAAAAGCAATCTCGTCGTTTTCATTCTGGAAGCGATACGGAATGCCTCACGGTTTGGGCAAATGTCTTCATCCGCCACACGGTGATAAGTTATGTTTATGATGCCTTTTTACGTACTTGATAACTGGCTGGTGTTAAGAAAAAATCTGTATTGTACATTGTGCACGGCTGTTAAAAGTTGAGCTTCGAAATTTAATGTTGGTTATAAAACGTTACATTTGCGGTTTTGAAATGAGAATTGGTCAATTAATGCTGAATCAAAATGTTATTTTTAGTGTTGGCAACTAGACTAATGAAAATAAATTTTACTACAATTTTAGTAATCAACATTGTATTCCTTTTAACGACGGCGTAGTCGAATAAAAGTTAAAAATAAATATCGAGTAAAAAGACATAAATAAGTCAGATATAACCACAACACTATTTTCATGAAATCTTTCGCTAAAAAAAATTTTTATGATATCAAATGACGGGACGAACAAGTCGTGCACCTGGTGGTAAGAGACACGCCGGTCCTTAGCAGTCGCAGTACCACTCAGAGTTTTATAACGTAAAGGTCTGAGTATAGTCCCATATGCCTGTAACATGTCCCCATCACCACAAACGTAGTAATGGTCACATTACTACTTGGCGGCAGAAGGAGCTCTACAGCTACCAAAACCTGTTTAAGATTCTACAAAATAATAATAAAAACACTTACTTATAAGATGTAAAAGACATGTTGTTGTCTAAACAAGGTTGATCTTCCACCGTGCCTGAGGTGGTCAGCATGAGGGTGTTCATCCGTGTCCCTAAATCGATTGATTTTAGTCACTGCACAGCACTAGTCTAAAGTCCACAGCGTCGACTTGACGCGGCGCATCCTTCACTTGTCACATCACTGGCGGTGGGTACATTTCTGAAAAACAAAACAAATTTAACTTTATTTGTATGTAGTGTTAACACAATTGGGGGTCGTGTCGAAAAGATGTCATAGTACTCTTTTTGTCATTGTAGACTATGCCCTAATTCAGCAGTGGAACGTTAATGTGTTAATAATGATTAAGTTGCAATATTTATTTTATCGAAAATCATATATTTACATATGTTTGCGAATATACCCCACTATAGTCCATTTGTTTAGGTACTTATATAAATGTAAATAATCTTGATACATATTTTTATTGAAACATATGCTTTACAAATCAATAGGTATAAAATAAGGCATGCAATTTCATATGAAGCTAAGTATTTGTATTTTGTATTTGAAGGCAAGTAAAAATCATTTTATAATTGTATAGTTCATAAAATAGACATCTCAAGATTGTTTACATTTAGTTAAGTATTTAAACAGATGGACTACAGTTTGTTGGTATTATTGATTCAAAGGTCGAACAAACACGAAGAAAAATTCTTTCGATCCGGCTGGAGTAGAACCAGCGACCTCGCCATACCGGGGCTATCGCTCTCCCATCTGAGCTACGTAACGAGTCAGACCTTATGAGTTTCTTTATGTGCTTGTTGCAAATTTTGTTTTTAGTTATTTAACGACTTTTGTCGTAGCGCCACCTATAATAAATCTAAGAAATAAAGTAAGTTACTATAAAATGTTTCGAAGTAGTGGAGTGGAATCTTATTTCTCATTCTCATATAAGTATATCTCCAAAAAAAACGTACGTTGAACAAGTTTTGCGTAGTCAAAAACGCGATTTACATATTTGTATTCTATTAAGCCGCGAAAAAATTCGAGCTCCGCGAAAAGCCAAGGAAGGAAAAAATACTTTTCAGAGACCATTGTAACAAAAAGGCACATTCTTTTAATGTGTGCTTTAAAACTTGTATTCTTCAATATTAAAATTTTTTAATTGTATTTTAATCGTATCGTTGTTACTCAGGTGTGTGAGTTTGTTAATTTTTGTGGTGTTATTATTCTTGATCATTACAATCTATTGCAGAATATCATCAAAGACTAATAAGGACTGCATAGTCCATTGTAGCTGCGTCAAAGGCCAGCTATAGACCAATTTGACATGTTTTTTTTTTTTCTTTATTTTATTCTATATTCTAATATTGATTTTTAAGCGCTAAACAACAATGGTCGTTCAAGTTTACTAAAACCGTGCTATTTTATACATTTAGAATTGTTTCATCTAAAAATATTGTTGTTTGTGAGAGAGATCACGGACCGGTGTCGGATTTCCGTGATATTTAATGTTTCTATATTCAATTGACTGGTTTTTGTTGGTAAAATAAGTGTGAAAACCGTAGTTGCGATGACACTACGTTCGATTGCATGGATACCCGTCATACTCCTGAAATTTCGTCCATATATCATTTTAGGGTCTTATTCCAGCACTCTACTCAATTCTCAAGTCAGGACTTGAGTATGATTTCAAGCACTGGAAATACGACCCTAATGGCAAGGACTTGAGTATGATTTCTAGTGCTTTAAATCATACTCAAGTCCTGACGTGAGCATTGAGTAGAGTTCTGGAATACGATCCTAAAACTTGATATTGGCAAAATTGTCCCCAAATCTGCTGGAGATAAAGTTGCCATAAGAAAAAGAAATGGTCTGGGAATGTTCTTAGCAACAGGCTAATACTACTAGGCAACGGAATTTTAAACAATTGATATCTTCTATTGTAAACTAAACAATAATTTTAAAGTTGAAGTCAACACGCTACTATTTTCGAGTCGAAAAGAAACTTGAAAACCATAGATAGAACAAAAAGCGCAAGTAAAGCCATATAAAATATAGACGAGGAAAGTCTGAAGTTATTTTCTGACATAATCGTATTTCCCAAGCTAACCACAAATATTTGACCGGCCATTATTTAATTAATAAAATATAAAGTTAAAATGACATAAATTATAAATTAAAAGGGCATCACCAGTCATAGGTACTTTCAAAATGACGAATTACATAAATTACAGTATTATAATAAGGTTTAAGAAAGTTTTTTTTATAATATCAAGTTACGGGACAAACAATATCCTGACGGTAAGCGACGTGGCTCCCTCTAAGCACAGTTACTATACCATTCAGAGCTTTAAATCGCAAAGATCTAAGAGACACTGCTACTTTGCACGTCGTCCTGAGATATAAAATTGACAAGTCCCATGCGCTTGTAGTTTCACCAGCACCTTTATCCTTCAAAACCGGAACTCAGTAATGCGTTTACTACTTGACGGCAGAAACAGGTATGGTGGCAGTAATTCCCTGGACGAATTCTTTCAGGTTTTTGTTTTCATCGAAAACTTTTAAAAGTAAATATCCCTATAACAAACGCATTATTACACATGACGGGTCTCATAAGCTGCAGAACCGACGATCGGTGGAGCAGAAAAGTGCTGGAGTGGAGACCGAGGACCGGTACCAGATGCGTCAGCCGTCAGAAGGCTAAATGAACGGTCGTCCTTTCAATAGTCAAAGTAACCAGAAAAACGTGGATGCAAATAGCCCAAGACCGGAAAGAATTGCGTGCAAATGAGGAGGTCTACACTCAGTAGTAGGTGAGTAAAGGCATAAAAAGAAGAAACGTATTAGACTACACTCTAATAACCCTTCATCCGAAGGAATCCCTTTTATAGCGGGGAATCGCTCAGGGATTGAAAGAGTGGATAACAAATTCCGAACGCAAATTATTCTAATAATTTTCTAAGTCTCATTCATCCCTTATCTAATGAGGTTTCTGAATATATTTAGATTTTTCAGCCAGATTGCATCAATCACAACTATGTAAACCATTTGAAATTGTATGAATTGTGGTCAAAATAGATAAACAACTGTTTATTCCGACTTCCTCGAGTGGAGATTTTGACGAAGATAGCAAACCGGCCGGCCGCCATATTGAATCTGATTGACAGCTGTCGATGTTGGCGGCACTGCGACGTGGCGACGCGCCTGTGCGCTAATTCGTTTAGAAAAAATATTTTGTTGGCATTACTGTTTGACGTTCGTCTTTTATAGAAAGACTTTTTTGATTAGATATCGTTGACCAGCACGAATGAGAAATCGAAATAAAAATAACAATGGCCAAATGCCGCTAAATGAAGAATCCAGAAGATGGAGATTCGAGTTTAGTACAGTATCAGACTGTAATTGTATCAATATGTTGTGCATATGCATTATTTAAAAGTCGTTATAGAGGGTTATTAACCGACTTCAAAAAAAAATCGATGACCGACGAGACCGATTTCACCGATTTGTCCGTCAATTGTGGACCGATTTTGAAAATTGTTTTTTGTTTTGTAAAATACTAACAACCCCGCCGATCTGAGTTCCTAACATCATAAACAAACTTTTGTTCCATTACTTTTTACAAAACCTAATAAATTTGTCAAAAATAAATTTTTCAAATTTTTGTTGTACTATCTTACACATTTTACATCTGTGTTTGATAGTAAGGTAGTAAGTGCAAACGTGCAAGCATCTTGCATGACAACCTCCACCCCGCTTCTGCATTTTGCATCCTATCGACAGTGTTATCACCGTTTAGAGAAGTATATTTGAATGTTACAGAATCTAGTGAATTATTAAAAGTTATGGAACAAAAATTGTTGTTTATGATTGAGTAATATGATGCTATTTGCAGTACCTATAGCAATTCTTGTTTTAAAAAGGGAGATGATAACCTAAACACTTTTCTTAAAGATGACCCGTGCGTTTCAATAACACGTATATGAGTTGTACAGCTTTACACCAGACGCAGCTTTACCCTTCAGCTACTGCAGTCTTATTAAAAGTCGCATGTAGACCATCTATAGCCTCTATTATAGTTTCGTGCATAAATAAAGCTCTAAAAGACAGCTACGTTCTATATAATGTATACATGGTACGTAGTTATATAACCATGAGTCAAAAATCAATGCATATCTTTTGAAGTGTGACAAAATAAGTATTTTTCAAAGGGAACGTGTACATTTTTCTCTATTTATTAACTAACTACATCGTAAGTCTTAACTAATTATACATTTAAATAAATTACACCTGTTTATGAAATGTCCTAATACATAAAACATATATGAACGTGTACTCTTATGTAAGTGCTATTTAAAAATATGCAAGTCATCAAAAAGTAATATTCATTATTGACAATTCTCATACAACAGTTTTGCGGAGTTTTCATTCCTTTAGAAGACGAATTTTGAAAAATGCGTTTTTGTTAAATTGGGGGCGGTGGCCTAACGGTTTGTATTGTGGGCGCTGAATAAGGTCTTGTGTTCGATTACCGGTAGGACTGATTTGAATTTAATAAATTAAATGTCAGACCAGAGACCAGATAATTGGTGTGGTGATCTGGCACATTATTATTATCATTATGTGAAAGTCCAGAGTTCGAATCTTTTCGAGGGCATGCAGTCAGTAGTGCAAAAAACAGTAGTATTTTCTTTTGATACTATGTGATGAGATTAACAAGTCGTGCGCCTGATGGTAAACGACACGCCTGTCCATAACAGTTGCAGTGCCACTCAGAACTTTAAATCGCAAAGATCTGAGGTGCACTGCCTCTGCGCTCATCATCTTGAGACATAATTGGAAAAGTCGCATGTGCCCGTAATTTCACCAGCACCCTTACTTGCCCTTCAAAACTGGAACACAGTAATGCTGACATTACTGCTTGGCGGCAGAAATAGGTAAGGTGGCAGTACGTCTCTGGACGAACTCTTACCCGACACAACACAAAATAACAGTTGCAGTGCCACTCAGAACTTTAAATCGCAAAGATCTGAGGTGCACTGCCACTGCGCCTGTCACCCTGAGATATAAGTTGACAAGTCCCATGTGCCTGTAATTTCACCAGCACCCTGCAAGTACTTCCTAGGACAAACTCTTTCACAAAGAGCTCTACTGCTACTAGAGTCTTTTCGAATCATATGCACTTTGGGTTACTACGATAAAGTAATGAAGGCAGT